CCGATCCGGCTTGAACCGGTACCACGCAGCGCCTGTGGCGGCCACATGTCCGAGAGTTATTACCCACATCCCACCACGTCTTGAACTGCCACCGAAGAGCTCGTGTTCCACGTTCCCTATGGTTGGGTGATCAAAACCCCCTCGAGAGGTTAAATTGTGATGAGGCGTTTCTCCGTACCTCAAGCAGGGAATGTGTGTTTCAATGCTTGTTGCGGTGGATAGAGAAAAGGGGACCTTCTAACAGGACACTGCAACAGACTTGGAGTGCCGTTGGAGAATGAAGCTTTGACCAAGTGTTAAAGAGGCAGGTGGACGCATAGGCCCAGGCAGGAGAAGGTACACCGAAGGCAAAAACTGGAAACGTAGGGCTAGAGAGGTTGTTCACTGAGGACGAGGTTAAGAATTGTGTAATCATAGTGCAATGCCACAAAGTAGCAGGGGCGGATGGGATAGTACACGAGTTCATGAAGTTTTGGGGGGAAGGGAATGATCCAGCTGATGGTGCTGCTGTACAACTGGGTGTGGAAAAACTAGTACCTGGTATGCGCGAAGCAGATGAAGGGAAGGGGTGGTTGTGAAGGTGTTGAAGAAAGAAGGCAAGATTTACCCAGGAAAGGGTATGCGATACGGTATGGAAAAATGGTCTGTGGAAACACTTGTCCAAGTCTGAGATAAAGGGGTAAATGTGAAGAGTGCTGAAGAAGATGACAAGACGGTACGAACAGCGCTGTCATGCAAGACGGAGAACTGCCCAAATTCTTCGTCATTGAAAAGGGAGTCCCACAAGGCTGTACGCTGTCCCCAACATTGCTGTCCAGGTGTTCATCAATGATCTGGTGAAAGTTGTAGAGGCAGCCGGGCAGAGGGTAAACGCAGTTGAAACTTCGGTGCGGGAATGCTGTTTGCGGATGATTTTGTTGGGATGTCTTACACCCCGAGGGATTTCAACTACAGATTGACGCGGCGAAGAATTGGTAAGTGGAGATTGTCTGCCAACGTTAAGAAGAGTGCCGTCAATGTATGCAACAAGAACAGAGAGAAAACAGTAGAGTAAAGATGGAAGTGGGGGATCAAGGAGCTTGCAGTGGTGGGTCAGTACATCCCGGAGTACAGCTTGGAAAAGACTGCTCGTGGAATGCGCACGTGTCCAAGGGTATCTAATAATGGCAAAACAGGGAAGGTGCCCCCAGTACTCGCAAACCGGTACCTCGATACACGCATCGAATAGACAGTTTTGAAGAGTGTAATCGTACCGCCGCTAGGATACACCGGAGAAGTACTGGAAGAAAATTTACAAGTAGTCCAAGAATTGGAGGAGGCGCAGGTGGATCCAACAAAAAGCATCCTAGGATGCTCCAAACGCACGCGTTATCCAGCCGTCAGGGCAGCACTGCGTGTCCGATCCCTACGATCGGGAAAAGACGGGAGCAAACTGACATGGCAGTACGGCATGTGCGGGGTGGGATGTGAAAGGTTGTCTAGAACAGCTTGGGAGGAGAAGTGGGTAAACAAGGAAAGGGGTATGTCGACAATCCACGCAGTGGGTCAAGGTTGTAGATGACGCATGGAAGGCGTATGAAATTAACGAAGGTGACACGCTGGAAACGGAAAGCCTGGGGGGTTCAAGAAGAACACATCTGTTGTTTGTGCCGAGGGAGAAGAATATTATGTACGGAATGAAACTAACATTGACGAGGGTCTGGAAATGTAGGCGTTAAAAATAGGGTTCAAGGAGTACCTACATGGACCGGGGACGCATAGTCAATGGTCTCGCCGCGATGGCATGCGAAGACTACCTCCCCCTCGGAGGCACTTGTTGGGAAACTTGCAGACTTGAGGGGTGTACCAGAAGTTGGTCCCCCCAAGTTGTTTAAAGCACCTCTCTCTGCTGATCCATCTATCTGCCTTTCTCGCCAACCCGACGTTCGCGGACACGGTGGGCGTGGTGGTGAAGAAACGGCTAAGGTAGCAATATCAGGATCTTGGGCAAAAGGCGAGAGACATCACAGCAGGCAGGGTTCCAGGTCAATCTCTCACCACATTGTCTGTCCTTGCGCACGGAGGAGAGTGCGATTTTGTGTACAAGAAGCCCGAGACCATCCGGTTAACGACCCCGCGGATGTTGGTCATCGAAAACACGCTAGGGTCCTCCAGCATCATGGTTCTTCTCTGGTTCATGTTGTGGCCGACGCACCCCGTCACCTATGTATAGGTTGAGGTGCAGTGACGAGGGAAGTCAGACGGTGTGTTAGGTTGTGAACCAGACGCAGCGAGTGACGACAAACTTGTGGGTAACGAACGGTGGTTCGCGCTGACATGGGTCGGGAAAAAAAGGGTAAACGGTGTCAAGAAGGCGCTTACCCGAGGCCGAACCTGTGGTGTGCCGAAAGTCGAGATAACCATATCGAACGTCTTTCAGGCAATATTTCAGCCCAAGCTAGCACTCCTCCCCCGCAAGATACACCTGAAGAACGAACGATTGTTTAAGGGGTCACATCATTGTGAATTGGCCACACACTCGACGAGTGATGATCACCTCACCATCGGGCACATTAGGCCTTCCAGCGGGCAACTTCCGGGAGGGTCTCCAGGGAACGCGCAGCAAGGGCCTCGAGGCACGCATCCGCCGAGTCGCCTTGCGATGACGCTGGCCTCGCTGCTGCCGGCCTTCGGCACCCTGATGAGCTTCGCAGAATAACGGGGACATTGCAGGAGCGACGACCACCAAACATTTGGCGTTGTCATTTAAGCATAGTGAGGAATGGTATGAGGGGGGCACGAGCAGCACAGTTATGCCCCAGGTTCACAACCGACGGGCGGGGGGCGTATGATAGAAGGAAGGAATAGATAACGACGGGGTTAGTTGCCTCTTTGCCATGGCATGGAGACGATCAACTGATCGCCTGAAAGAACACAAGACTGATAAAACCTGTTTGACAAAGATTCATCCAATGGTCGAACGCAGGGCACCCCTCCCGCGACGCTGATTCTAGCACCATTGTTTTGAGATGGTGTGGTGGTGGTCAAGCTCCAACCAGAGCTCCGCTCCAGGCAACAAAAGTGCAGGAGTTGTATGTTCTGTGCACGAGGCGCACTGTCACAACGATTTAGATGTAGTGTTAGGGGCGTCGTTGCCGTGGACAGTCGCAGTGAAGGGGTAACGAAAGAGTTGGTGCTTGTGTGCCTCTTGTCATCCACCGCACTTCTTAACCTGTAGTCTGGCCACATGTCGCCGAACAGGGTAGAATCATCCTCAGCATCGCCGTCCTCAGCAGCCCCGAACGGGTTGCATCTGAAGTCAACAGTGGCTCTGTACGCTGCAGAAGGCAGTGAGAACCATCGGGCTGTCGCTTTACCTCTTTTTTGACGAAAGAGACGCATAGCGGGAGTCCTGCTGCCCAAACGGTAAACAACATATCTACCCCTTCCGGTCGACGGACGGGATCGACAACTTCCAACCCAACTCTCTGTACAACGATACGCTAAGGGTGCATTTATTCGCCGTGTTTACTACCGTCACATCAAACGTTCCACTCCAAAAGGCGCCTCGACAGAACACAATCTGCCCACCTGCAGGCCATCGAAGGCGAAATTGTTCTCCTCGAAGGTAGCTGGCCTCCCGTTTCGGGCCTCGAACCTCTCAAGGGCAAGCTCGAGGAACGTAGCAGCCGTAGATTCTTGTTCCCCTGACAATTGAGAAGCATGTTTCCTGACACATTCATTGCGGTTCAAACGGTAGTCTGCGAATACAAAGATTCTTCGTTGTGGTGCCCAAAGGAATCAACACTACGATGATATTAGACTCTACCTATAATCGTAGAGTGATTTTACTTTTGGCCCTAGTGGTTCGGATGCCTTATCGGGACTTCCGGGATAAAAGGAGTTCAGAGACATAATCCTTCTTGCTGCCTCGCGGGTTCTGCATTAAGCATTCCAAGGTCAAATACCTCGGTTACCAACGTCGAACTCTTGCGACGCCGCCAATATCAGCAGTCCGGGAAAACAACGCCACCGCATGCCACGCGCTATTTAGCCAGCAGATCTGTTTCAAACGGGGTATGAACGGGATCGTCAAAGGCAGCAAGGGCCGGTTGACAACGACGTTCAGCGACGAACTTGAATTGTGACAATTATGGTCAAAGTGAAAATAGTGTGTATGCGGCCTATGTCCAGTGTTGTAACAAGGATGGTGCATCCAAACACACCGGAGGCTTACCATAGCTGACGCCCTGCACAAATAGCCGCAAGAAGTGCCAAAACACAAGCTTAATATGAAGAGACATGAAGAAATGTCCACTTTTTTACGGCGCGGCCAATGATGGTGGGGCAATCATGTGTCGTCCGCATTGCTGAAACAGAGTGAAATTAGGGAAGGGTTATCGAGTAAAATACATACGCATAGTTTATGCGAGTGGCAGCAATCCACGCGCACCCAATTGTGGTAATTTTTTGTAGCGCTGGTAATGCGCGTATGTGAGTGGTGTGTGGCGGATACTTTGTGGAGAGTCTCCTTGGTGCGAGACGCATGTGGAAGGTACTCAGCTGTTCGTACAGAAGCACTGGTGAAACAGGGGGTGCAATAACGGCTGAGATTTTCAAAAATGAATCCGGCCCAAATGTTTTTTTTTGTCCCCGTTTTGGGAAAACCCTACATATGTACAGACACTAGGGTTAAGAATGCTGTGGGCAACATCCGGGACGGATGGTGGTGAGTGTCCTGGAGGAAGGAAAGAAGAAGAAGGGGAGAGTTTTTGTAGGGGCGGGAAGAAGGGACGGTGTTGGGGGAGGCAAGGAAGTGGTGAAGAATTTCGGCACTCGACGAGCGCGCGATCCCGTTGGGGGTGAAAGGGACATCCCACTCCGTAGTCTTGTCTATCGGGAATCAAAAAGCCGAAAATGTACATAACGATGAAGAAGGCCGACGAGGAAGGTACGAAGAGACGAAATTGCACCCCACGTTCGAAGTCGGCGTGAAAATCCGCCGCAAGGAAAGAGTAAGAATGAAACACAAAAAAAACGAAGACGTCGACGTTTGCGTCGTGGAACGGCCCTTCTGTATAACGCAGGTGCTCACGAATGCAAGACGGTGAGGTAAAATACCCATGGTAAAGTCAAAGCGGAGGTCGTTACTGCATATTACTCATGCGCGGAGAAGTTAACACGGAGACTTATCGACAAGAAGTTTGAAGGCCGGGTGAGAAGGTTTGAAGACACAAACACTTAAGCGACGATGGCAAAAGCGCAACGGCAAAACTTCACAATAAGAAACACGCATATGATAAAGAAAAAGGCCGGATGCCGACCTATGGCTCTCTCGGAATGAAGGGATTCCCATAATTTCCAACAGGCAATCCACAAGTATCGAGGAGGCCGACGACGAGGAATCACACACATGTGATGCGCAAAGAAGGATCGGGGAAGGAAACGTGAGGGGAAAAAGTACGGACTTGAAGGCAATCCTTCCGTATAACGCAGGTACTCACCAATGCAAGACGGCCATCGTGAAAATCAAAGCGTAGGTGATAACTGCATATATATGACTCATGCGAGGAGAAGCAAACGCGGAGACTTATCAACAAGACGTTTGAAGGCCGGCTAAGAAGGTTTGAAGACACAAATACTTAAGTTACGATGGCAATCGCAACGGCAAAACTTCACAAGAAGAAAAAGGCATGTAAGAAACGGCGGTGGAAAAGAAAAATGTGTTAGTGCACTGCCGCCCTCAGCGGTCTGTGGTGTTGAGACTGGGGACTATGTTATTCCAGGAACAGCTGATAAAAAAGGACCATGTATTGTATTGTATATTCGTCACGCAAGCCCCTCAGGCAAGCTGGTATTCGACACGCAAGCCCCTCAGGCAAGTGCCGGGAGCACACCGCTGTGTGCTCCCGGGGGGGCCGCACTTGGACCACAACCGCATACATACCATCACACCCACACCCATACTTCCCATACGCGTATCCCCTACAGAAGATGCACATATCGGACTCATATCCAAGTACCACAAACAGCCCTCCTACTTGATACGATGTACGATCTTGCAACCAACGCAAAAACGCAATCAGCAAACATAGAAAAACACCCCTTGAGAAAGCTTATTCAACAAAACTGGCTACGCATCCAACACAAAGCGTCTCCATCAGTTTATTCACGAATCCAAAGCGTTCGTCTCTGGAAATAATCTCAAACCGTTGACACAAAAGAATCATCCTCAGAAAAGTACCCAACGATTATTTGTGCTACATCAGAATGGCGCCGGAACGAAAACGGACATTTCTGGAACAAACAACATATAAAAGAGTTGACACCAAATCCTCAAACAAAACAAAAAGTCAACTTCTTGACCAATCAAAACGAGAATTCGGAAAGCACAATGGCCCCAACCATTAATCGTCAAAACATGTCAAACCCTTCCTCCAACACCAAATTCTAAACAGAGCGCACCCGCCAATCGGTACCGTCGCTGTTGTCCAAGAAACGATAAAAAATAAAAGCAAGCATCCACGCAAACAGCCCCCCTGCTGTCAGCTCCCAAAATTCACCCCGAGCTAATATCACAATGTCAACAGTCCCCCCTGCTTTGCCGTTCACCTAAAACACAAATAGACAAGGCCAGAAAACGAACCAATTCGATTGCTGCTCACGCCCTCTAGAATCATGGTCATACATGACATCCCCCCCCATGATTTTCGATGCAAGAGCAGCAAAACATGCGATACAAACCGAAAACATGAAAACACGTTACACTCATGGCATCAAACGCCGGAAAAATTCGTGCCGTATGAAAACTGCATTTGCAACTGGAACTCCAAAAGCTACCCTGCTCCCTGAGCCACATGCCTTCACGCACGTCAAGCAACGCGCTATCATCCCATTTCTTGCGCGCGGCCAAAAACACACTGCAGAGAGAGACCGCTTAACTCAGGACCTAACATAAGAAAACAAACAAACCAAAAGTATCGAAACACCCTAAGCGCAAAACGCGACTGAACGTACTCCCGCCAAAGAATAGGGAAGTAATATGAAGTATTCAGCTGCAAGGTAAACCGCGACTGAAAACATACGAAGAAGCAAGGAACAAACATAAATAAAAACCCACCTGCTGCTTCCTATTCCACAGGTTGTGGCAATGCTTATCTTGTCGCAGCGAACATTTATTATCATGAAACCAAGTACAGAAAAAAATCATTACGCACACGCCGTGGCACACGTGTTTTCCGCATCAAAGTGCACGGTGCGCTTGCAAGGGAAAAACAGAAAAAATAACAATAATAATGATAATACGAAGCCAAATGGCGAAGCTGAAACGTCCATGGCTGCTCGCAAAACCGAACAAAGTCGTGAACGTTTCACATGATTTCCCACTTGGCTGTAACAAGGTGAGGTCGTCACTGTCACCGTGTCCTCCCCGTTCCCGGTCGATTCGAGGGCGCCACCGCTGCTGCCGCCGCTGCCATCGCCGCCGCCACGACTGTCACGAGTTCCAGCGCCAACACGGCTGCCGGGAACGTCGCTGCTGCCGCCTCCACCACCGCCGCCGTTGTCGCCGCGGCCGCCGACGGGGCTCTGGCCAAAACCGCCGCTGCCGTCTTCTGCTGCCGTCGGAGCTCTGGCCGAAGCCACCACTCTCGTCGCTGCTGCCGCCGGTGTCGCCGCTGGAGTTCTGGCCGAAGCCACCACTCCCGTCGGGGCGGCCGCCGTTGCCGCCGTTGGAGCTGCCACTCCCGTTCCTGCCCCTATCGAAGAGGTACGCCACCCCTGGTACCGCCCCCCGTCTCCTCGCGCCACGCGAAGATGTCTTACCGGGGTCGACGGGGTGCGTCGGGGCTCCGCTCCAGGTTTCATCTAACAACCCCTCACCCCCGTTCCCATCACCGCCGCTTTCCTCGCTGCTGCTCCTGCTGCTGCTGCTGCAGCTCACTTCCTCCTCAATCTTTGCGGGATCAAAAGGGTGCGTCGGAGCTCCACTCCAGTTTCCATGTAACCCCTCGCCGCCGCCCGTGCGGCCGTCTGGACACCCGACGCCAACGCGGCGACCGGGGACGCCGCTGCTGCTTCTGCCGCTGCCGTTCCCCCCGTCACCGATGTCGCTACCGCCGCCGCTGCGGCCGCTGCTGCTGCTGCTGCTGCTGCTGCTGCTGCTGCTGCGGCCACCGCTGCTCCGGTCATCCGTTTCTCCACCATACTTTTCCTCTCCATCCACACGCACCTCCAGGATAGAAAATCCTTCAGGGTCAAAAGGGTACGACGCGCCCCTCTCGAAACCGCAGATGCCGTCGTCTCCGCCGCTGCTGCAGGTCAGGGTGCCCGGGGCCATGGCGGCGACCGGGGACGACGCTGCTGCTGCCGCCGCTGCCGCCCCCCCCGCCGCCGCCACCGCTGCTGCGTCCGTCGAGGTGCCCGGGGCCCATCGCGGCTACCGGGGACGACGATGCTGCTGCCGCTGCTGCGGCCCCCCCCGCCGCCGACGCCGCCGCCACCGCTGCTGCGTCCGTCGAGGTGATCGCGGCGACCGGGGACGACGCTGCTGCTGCCGCTGCTGCTGCCCCCCCCGCCGCCGATGCCGCCGCCACCGCCGCTG